TATCCAGTGTGAGGGATGCACCGCTGGTATCTGCACGCGTAGCTGGTATCCCCAAACCCACTCACTCTAACCCTTCTGTTCCTGAACTAATTCCCCTGTCTGAAGTGCTTCCTATGATGGGAATTGCTTTTTGGTGTGTTTGGGCTGCATACACTACCACAGAACTTCCAGAGATGGCGGTGCTCACTCCAGGTCCTCCAGAGGTGGCGGCTGAGGCTGCAGAACCCTCCGAGGTGGCGGCGCTCGCTTTGGCTCCTGGTATGGTGGTGGCACCCAGCAATACACTATCAGTCTGTCCTGTCACGGTCAAAGGGACCGTTGCTGAACTCTGTACCTGTCCTGTTAAGGAGAATATTCATGAACTCTCCCTGTTTCCTGCTGGTATTGCTGTAGAACCTCCAGAGGTGGCGGCATCCGCTGAAGAACCTCCGGAGGTGTCAGTAGAATCCACTTGTAAACTCTCTTCCTGTTCTGTTCCTGCCAAGGAGGCCGTCTGCAAACTCTCTGCCTGTCCTGTCACGGCTATGGCCAAGGAGGCCGTCTGTGAACTCTCTCCCTGTCCTGTCACGGCTATGGAGGCCGTCTATGAACTCTCTGCCTGTCCTTTCACGGCTCTGGAGGCCGTCTGTGAATCCTCGTCCTGTCCTGTTACGGCTTTGGAGGCCGTTTATGAACTCTTGTCTCGTGTTGAACCAGCCATGGAGGTTGCTTATGAACTGTCAGCCCGCTCAGTTGTCACCAGGGAAAATATTGATGAACTTCTTGTGTTCCCTGCCTCGGTCCTTGAGACCATAAATGCTTTGTCTGTTTCTTGTGTCTCAGTTTTCCCTAGTTCCCAATCTCTACCAGGGGTCTCTGTTCCGTCTGCTCCGCCATGGTGGTCTACTGTCTGGCTCTGGTGGTCTTCTGCTCCGCCGTGGGGGTCTTCGGTCCCGTCTGCTCTGCCGTGGTGGCCCTCTGCTCTGCCGTGGTGGTCTACTGTCTGGTTCTGGTGGTTCTCTGCCCCGCCGTGGTGGTCCTCTGCCCCGCCGTGGTGGTCCTCTGCTCCGCCGTGGTGGTTCTCTGCCCCGCCGTAATTATTATACCCTTAATCCATTACACAAGCTAGCTTAGTTTAATAGTAATTATCAAACTTTTATTTTAAATTAATATAAAAATATAGATATGCAATACAAATTTCAGGATCAATAGCTTTAAACATGACTACATATGAGCTTAGATTTGAAGTGTTTTTATACTTATAATTATAATAAAAAAAATGTATTTGCAATTATATGGCTAGATGTTTTCTTTAAGTTTTCCTCTTTCATGGATAGATCGTTTCATCTGGTAAATGTGTTTAAATTCTTCATATTGTTCAATCTTTTAATCTTTGGTAGTGAACCGCACTGACTCTCTCACGAGAAGTGAATCACAGTTTCAAGGCATGTGATTGGCTGTTCATTACTGATGTCACTCTTTCATGTGCACTTGCTCCATTAACTCAGGATCAAGCCTGAGTTGACAGAGAAAGCTGATGATCAGCTTCATGGTACCAACAAAGCCGGACTGGACTGGTTTGGTCAACGTCGACTCAAAACTAATCCTGTAACCCCGAGTTTGTTCAGCCACCATCATGGTACAGTCCCAAGTTGTATTAAGTTAATATATACCAAGTCCCTTTCATTTTACCCAGATACTGGTTATTAACCAAATATCAGATGTAAATACTCTACTTTTACACTTTTAGACTGTGAAATAAACTCAAAAAAAGTATTAATCACAAATCTGAAGAACCCAACAAAAAAGGTTTGTGAATTTCTATTTCTGCATATGATGCTTGACATAAAAACATGTTGCAGCATAATGTAGGAGGGAAAGACAATAATTCAGATATTTTAAGTAAGGATTTGTCTCTGCATCAAATTATCAGTGAACAATAAAAAAAAAAACCTAAAAAAATCACAATACATCTGTAAATATGTCGTATGATAATTAACAGACATCTGTAGCATGCATCATCAGTTAAAATTGACTATTACAACATTTAAAAACCTTTCTGTAAAAAGTTCAATGCAATGATTAGATGAATCAAGATGAGAAAGTTTCCATGCATTTCTATTAGGATTTCTGTAACAATTATTCATGGTTATTAAAAGCACTTCTGTTGATCTCTGTATTTAATATTATATTTAAAGCATTCAGTACAGTAAATGGAGCAAATATCCACGTAAGCTGTATAAATACCCCCATATCATTGAGATGAAGATAAATCTTGCTGTAATCTGTTATTTGTAGAGTATTTTATACTAATTGTCACGATCTCCAGCTGGAGTGCCTATGAACACAGAGGGCACTCCACCTCGGACTCTTGCCAATCTTCCCCAGACTACATTTCTCATAATCCTTTACTGGACTCATCATCAACTGATTGCCTTCACCTGTATCTCATTACCTCATCAGTCTCGCCCTATTTAAAGCCTGGTTCAACCAAACACACATGGCTCAGTATTGTTTGTTCACAGAAATGATAGATATGTACTGGAGCCCGTATTTGAATCCTTGATCAACAATACAAAGTGACAGATTTTTGTAGTTTAATGGTTTGTGTTAATTCATCATTATATACAGTGCAGGTTTAAAAACATCTGTAAACATTTAATCACATGAAGCTGTTTCTACTTCCACTTCAGTGAATCTCAGTGAACTGCAGACATTATTTTAACATTTCATCAGAACACAGACTGTAACGAACACACAGTTTAATATTGCTGCAGTATCTGATTTGAGGAAGACAGTGATGATGTACCTTTAGTTACGTGTGTCTTTGTAGTTGAGGGATTCTGAGAGTTTGTGACTGGTGTCGTCGTTTGAGCTTGAGCTGTAGAGAATGAATATTAGTTCAGATTCATCATACTGTAGTGAGAAAACATCTTCTATACCGTGCTTTCTGAACTACAAGTCGTGTTTTTATAATCTGAAACATGCTACGATTTATTCCAAACATGATGATGTACCTTTAGTTACGTGTGTGTTTGAGATGTGGACTGGAATCACTGCTGTCGTTGAGTCAGTTTGAGCTGGAAAAGATGAATGTTAGTTCATATTAATCATACTGTAGAATAAAACTACCATATTTTAATTAGTTATCACACAAGATAACTCCATCATTATGTGACAAGGCGATGTATGATTTGGGACTATATTTCCCATAGGTCTGTGGGGTAATGTGCTATAAAGAGACGCGCAGTAGCATGGCCTCCTCTCGTCTCATTCATTCACTGATGTTACAAACAAGTGTGCGCTAATATCAGGTCATTTGTACTGTGTTTTAATAGTGACTATCTTGATGAATTTATTTCAATCACGAGAGCTGTTTCTGTTTAAGCAAATACAGGTAGATTGATGCCAAGTTGTTTTATGCTGCGCATGTTTAGAATAATCTGTGTGTCGTTAGGTCATCTTCATTTAATGAAATGTGGACATCAAGTATCTTCATGCATGGGTTTTATCGTGAGCTAATGAGAATATGTAAAGACAGTAGTAGACTACGTGCGGTGAAAAAGTGGTTTTATTTTGTTGTTGTGTTTCAGAACCCTGCTTGTATTTCTGGTGATTGGCCTGGAAACACAGTCCTCAGAACCGATGAATGATGTGTGAGTGAATTGTGTTCAGAGGTAGTAAGAACTGTCAAGTGTTTTCTCATGAACATTTATGAAGATGGTTGTTTTAATAAAAGTTTGTTTTATAGGTCTCTTACCAAATGTTACTCTGCAACTAACTATTAATTAATGGAAACGATCCATGCTGAATGAGAGGGATACGAGCAGCTTCAGTTTAGCTTTAAATAAGTTGTTATAGGTTCAGCATTTCAAATAAATGTTGTTTGCAATGAATTACATTATAATTTACTTTTATTTTATACTCATATTTTTCATTTTTGTTCTGTAAAATATGGAATAGTGCAAATATGTGGACCGTTTGCACCAATAAAACAAGCATATTATGTTCAACACACACAGCCACATTCACTTTAGCCTTAAACGCTGTTTTAATTTGAGGATCCTTGAAAACATTTGGTTTTCCAGAAAGTGTGAAAAGCCCTGTCGTAGAATATGACAATCATATTTTAACTTAGATCATAACATTACATAAAAAGTTAAAATTTTTGCTGTCAAGTTTCAATTCCAGCAGAACTTCTTGACTTTTACATTAGTTCATTAGTGTGCAGCAGTGCTTTGAGTTTCTCTTCTGTCAGACTGAACCAAGCTTTTGTTCTTCCGTTTGTTCTGCTTCAATAATACTAACAGTCCTTAATATTACTGACATTATGAGGGTCTGAAACTGATTAATGAGCTTGTTTTCTCACCTGAACTCTTGACAGTATAAGTGACTGAGGTCTTGACTTGATCTCTCTGAGTAACATTGCATCTCCACTCTCTGTTGTGATCTTCATTCAGGAGTGTTGTATTCAGAGAGCTGATACAGTGTCCTGGAGCTGATATCTGATATCTGGAGTCTGATCTCGTCAGTTTAACACCAGCCTGATTCACCCAGAACAGCTCAATTCCCTCAGAACGGATCCAATCATCACAAGAGACTCCAGCAGATGAATACAGCTGACAGAAGAGAGTCACAGAGCGGCCTGCACTGATCTCAGTCTGTGAGGATGAGACTGAAACACAAAATAACACACAAATCACATACATGTCAAGCATCATGGGTTTTTAAATGAAGAATTTGCCCTTTTTAAATTGAGCACATAATCGTAAAATTACCACGAAGAACATGCAGGTAAACACGAGCATCATTTCCTTGTTGTTTGTCATTCACATATTGTCTGCAGATGTAAGATCCATAATCTTCTTTTGTGACGTTCTTGATGTTCAGAGAGCAGTCAGACCCCAGACTCAGTCTCTCATGTCTCTCTGTGTCTTCCTTCTTTACAGACTCTTCAATCATCATGGGAGTTTAGATGAAGAATTTGCTCTTTTAAATTGACCACATAATCATAGAATTACCATGAAGGACATGCAGATAAACACGAGCATCAGGTTCTTGTTGTTGGTCTCTATTCACACCAGTCCATTGTTGGCAGCTGTAAGGTCCATAATCTTCTTTTGAGATGTGCCTGATGTTCAGAGAGCAGTCAGACCCCAGACTCAGTCTCTCATGTCTCTCTGTGTCTTCCTTCTTTATCCCTAAAGTGATCAGTTCAACTGTTTCTGAATGTCTGAATATGTTATTATAGATCCATGTAGTTGATTTGCAGTCATGAAGAGCATTATTACAGGACAGACGGACATTTTCACCAGAACTGATGAACACATGGGTCACTTCTGCTCCACTGGAGCCTGAAACACAAGAACATTTGAATTATAATTATGTTATATATTAATAAATGAAAACATACCAGCATAAAAAGCAGAAGATTCAGATCATACAGGATTTTTCACCAATTAGTACAAACACACTCTCCAGAATAAACTACTGTTCTTCATCAGAGAGCTGTTCGAATCACAAACACACTCTCAATATGAAGATAATTCAGCATCAGATGTTTGAGTGTGAAACTGTCTAGTTTTAGTGCGTTCAGGAATAATCCAGTATGTTCTGAATGAAACAAAACTGATAACTGATGGTGTTCAAATGAACTCTTTCTCAGACTAATTCCACTGAATGTCTTGAAGAGAGATTTCTTTAGACATTTTCTCTTCCTCTCAGTCTTCCTCTTCATTATTTGCTCTCAACTCTTTCTTTAAATACTCTCGGCTCCTCCTGTGGTTTTAGCTTCCTCTGATCTGACAGACCGAGTGTTTAAATGCTGCTAGAGTTCTTATTTAGTAACATGATGCCAGTCGTAATGGAGAAGTGTGAGAAGAGAGATCAGCTCGTTCTGTTTCCACCTCAACAAGTTAAACTTTCCCTCGAGAGCCGAGCGCCGACTGATGCGGTGTTGTGGATCAACTGGGGATGTGATCGTGAGCTATTTTACTGAACTTTCGTCAGGATTCGTCAGATGCAAACTACGAAGCTGCAAAGAAAACATGTTTGGTACATTATTAATGTTCTTAAAAAATGTTGGTACAACTATTACACTGTGTTGTTTCCTCAAGACCTGTGCTAATGTATTCAACACAGTTTAAGTGTAATTTTAACATGACGGTAGCAGGGTTCACAAACCACGCTCACGTTATCCTGAGACGTACACTTCAATAAAAATTACAATTACACTTAAACTTCTTATACTACTCTATCATAGGGAGAAATGCATGTAGTACACGCAAGTGGTATATTTAGGTTTTTGTTTTTTAGATTTAACAACAAGATTTAGATTTCAGTTCTACATTTAAATGAATATAAATTGGTAGTGTTAAAGTTCAGTGTGTGGGTATCTTCTGTTCCTATATTTAGTTGTGTTTCTTCTTTTTAAATAGACCAATAAAATAGCAAATGAATTTGACAGCCAGTATTCATCATGCTTTTTCATTCTGAGCCCCAAAGCCTACCAGCTACCATCTGTGAGGGAGGTTATCATTAAAACAATAAATTGCAGAAGGTCTGCCTCTATTTTACAGTCAGTTTTTTTTACACCTCAGTGGATTTCTGCCACAATATATTGCACAATTGTTTTGAACCAAGATCTGCAAATTTATCAACTAAATAATGTGGATTGTTTTTGGGTGATGAACAGTTGACTGGAGTCTGTATAGCTGGCAACAACGCACTGACATGCAAATATCTGATAGAAGAGTACCCTCACTTTACATTTAGAAACACCCCATTTTCACATTCTCTGGGTGTAAAGAGTTTTCTTTTGTTTATTTAATGCTTTAGTTTTTGCATACTTGGACTGGTTTCCACATTTACAGGCTTCTTGAAATTGAAAAAAAAGTATGCAAACCCAAAAACATTTAAAAAATAATAATAATAATAAAATAAACGCTTTAAATGCATGCAGGGCAACAGTGTCTTTCAGATGTGGAAGATCTGCCCACACAGTCCCAGTGGTACCATCTTCCACAGCTCATATTCAATCTAAGGAGGAAAGCACAAAAGGTTCATAATGACATGATACAAGAGAACAGCTACTCCAGCTTTCTCAGTCTATACTCTTCTCACCCATTGGTCAGGTTCACTTTTGCATGTATTCTGCTCTCCACAAGAGCGGCAGAGGTCTGAAAGGTCATCTTTTGACAATGTGGATATGAGTGTGTTGGTCATGAGTATGAGACAGTTTCCTCTCCTTCCTTCATAAGAAGGGCCTGTGCTAACCGATGTGAAAATTATTCTGTTCATAAATCAAGCTTTAACTTTAACACAATTGACTGATATACTTTAATAATTTGATGGCAAATTCTCAAATTTAATAAATGTATTAAAATTTGAAGACTTTATAATTACATTGATTAATACAATATAAATGATTAAGTGGTAATAGGTGGGTCTACAATAAAATGTTGAGAAATATAACAGATGAACAGAATAATTTATTGCTCATGCATATTTCTGATTTTGTGTACCGATTTTTATGTTCCAGACCCTGACATAAAATGTTTGGTGGCATGCTATCATCAGGCTACATATGAATGGTACATTGCTTGCTCTCTCAACCATACTTCAAAGTTTTGGTGATTAACATCCATGAAAGAAACAAAAAGGGAGGTTTCAGACATGCAAAGTCTATTTACAGCACATTAAATATGCTACACTAATAGTAGTAAGGCTTTCTTCTGTGTAAACTTTTCCTTACATGTACAATTTTAGCTGTATTTTTTGTGTCCTCTTCAAAAATTGCTTTTGAGAAATTTTGGTTACACTTTATTTCGATAGTCCACTTTAGACATTCTACTAACTATAATTAACTTTGTAACTACATGTCAACTAATTATCATTAATTTGCAACTACACGTCTACTAACTCTCAGAGTAGACTTAGGGTAGGTTTAGGGTTAGTTGAAAAAGTTGACAAAGAAAGTGTTAGACGATATTAAACAGTCTACTAATACTCTACTAACTGCTAGTTGACATGTAGTTGTAATGCTATTTACTGTTAGTAGAATGTCTAAAGTGGACTATCGAAATAAAGTGTTACCGAAAGATGTGTTTAGTTTATATATTTTAACATTGACACTCCATCTGAAATAAATATGTAAGCTTTCTCTGCTGCTTCGGTTTAAGATATTTTACACAGAAAACAATTCTGTTTAGATTAAGATTTTCAGTTTTTGTTTTGCG